ACACGGAACAAGGTGGCAAGCATGTTAGCCACAATAATAGAAGAACTCCACAGCCGGAGCATTCACAGCAGGACCGATAATCCGACAATTGTTTTGCCCCATTTTCGGCACCAAGATATAGAGACGCATGATCGCCTATGCCAATCGGGAGGTACTTGACAACACAACCGAATCACAGCTGTGTTCTGAGACACTGTAGCATGATGGGTAGATTTTCTCCCGCTGGCCGGTGCGGAAAGGCAATAAAGTAATAGATCTGTATTTATAAACCAATCGGTACTGGATGGCTGATGCGTCAGTATCACGTCGGCCGCCTTTACCTCCTAGCACTTTGATCTGGTACCCATTTAAGGCTGGATGTTGGCTTGGCAGCCATGATCATTGTGGGGCCGGGGATTCGGGGGCGGGGGGAGATCCGGCTCCGTCTCTATTTGAACTCACGGCCTTCGAATCCGCACGAGAGCCTCCATTAGACATATAATGCAGTCACTGTGCGAGGACAAGTTGTTGGTACAAGCTGTTGGTACAAGCTGTTGGTACAAGTTGTTGGTACAAGCTGTTGGTACAAGCTGTTGGTACAAATTGTTGGTACAAGCTGTTGGTACAAGCTGTTGGTACAAGCTGTTGGCACAAGCCGTCTGTATCTATTTCACCAACAAGTCCATCAGACATGTGATGCAGTCACTGTGCAAGGACAAGTTGTCTATTTCACGACCCAGTCAGTGTACACCATTGCTTCACACAACTCAGCTAGCAGTACCAGCAGATACATTTCTCGCTGACTCCCAAACGAACAGACACTGCCGGTCGGTGTGGTCAAGGGTGGGTTTGAAAAAACAGTTGCCTCCGGTGGATATCATATCATACACTGGGTGGATACAACATATCATACTCTGGGTGGATACAACATATCATAAACTGGGTGGATACAACATATCATACACTGGGTGGATACAACATATCATACACTGGGTGGATACAATAATAATATTTGGTTTTCCTTTTTTCCTCTCACCATTCTCATAAAATGTGTTTCTGATTCACCACTTACTGTTCCTGTTGTTTGACGCTGATGAAGGCTGTTTAACCGCAACGTTCATTTTAACACTCATGATTTTATATCTGTGTGTATATATATATATATATATATATATATATATATATATATATATATATATATATATATATATATATATATATATATATATATGCGTGTGTGTGAGTGTTTGTTTGTACTCAAGGGTGCCGAAAAAAGCCACAATTTCTGAGGCGAGTTGCAGGAAACAAACTTTGTGTCGGTGCATAACCCCCCCCCCCCCCCCCCCCCCCTCCCCAATTGATACATGTAAGCACACACAAAATTAAATAATATGTATAAACAAACAATGTAATATGTATAGACACGTAAATATAATGATGCTAAAAATGATGATACAAAAATAAATGTAATACTATGTAATAACATACATAATGATAGGTATAAATAGATAAATAAATAAATAAAAATAAATAAATAAATAAACGATACGTATAAACAAATACTGAACCAAAGAACTTTTGTTCACGTAGTGTCTGGCTGGAAAGCGCCATGTTCCGGCACATGTGTGTGTGAGTGTCAGTGTGTGTGTGTGTCAGTGTGTGTGTGTGTGTGTCAGTGTGTGTGTGTGTATATGATGGTGCGTGCTAGTGTGTGTATGCTGGTGTATGCGTTTGTGGCCCTGTGTGCGTGCGCTTGTGTGTGCCTGGTAGCGGACTCTACCTGCTCTCATAAACTGTCTAGAGGGACACAGGCTAAAGTGGGGGAGACCAGGTTTAGCCGTATTTAGGGGCGTAATAATAATGATAGTAATAGTTTATGTTGAAAACCAGATAAGTATCACAATTTGGGAGAAATAATATGAAATGTATAAACGCACACCGAAACGAGCACTTTTATATGTGGGTCCAGGGTGCGAGGGTCGAGGGTGCATGGGTCCGGGGGGGGGGGGTGGCTTGGGGCGGGGGGGGGGGATAAGACTGACAATTTGTAGAGAAGGTTCTGGAACGTCTAACAATAGTGACATAAAATGTGAATAGTTTAAGAACCGCCGGATGCTGCCAAGCCAAGTCAGGAATGTCTCACACATGGCAGTGACGGGGCTGTCTGCGATTCGGGCACCTCTGACATTTGTCTGCTTTATGTAGGGCAACTGGTTCTCGCGTGCGCAACCACATGTTTTCCACTTTGATCACAACGAAACACAAATGAGCATTTCGTGCTGCAGTATAGAGCGTCGCTTCACGTTATAAACGTCTGGGGGTCGAATCTTTTCCCAAACGCTGTGGCACTGTGGCTTACACTATGACTTGTCTGTCGTGTGGTCAGAATTTCCATTTCCAACAAGAGCTGTGTTAAACACGACATGGTTCCAGAGTCGACCTAACCTATAGGGTAGCGGGAAACGTACTAGGAAGGAAAGGAGACCGATTTTAAATTTCGTGGATCACTCACTGCATACTGATTGGTCTATTAAAATAAAGAGATTTTACCATATTATTAATATGCCCTACAATTATGGAACAATAAGTTAATTACTGACTACAGCCTCTTTGGTGTACAGTTGTGGAGCAATAAGTTAATTACTGACTACAGCCTCTTTGGCGTACAGTTGTGGAGCAATAAGTTAATTACTGACTACAGCCTCTTTGGTGTACAGTTGTGGAACAATAAGTTAATTACTGACTACATTACTGGTGTACAGCCTCTTTGGTGTACAGTTGTGGAGCAATAAGTTAATTACTGACTACAGCCTCTTTGGTGTACAGTTGTGGAACAATAAGTTAATTACTGACTACAGCCTCTTTGGTGTACAGTTGTGGAGCAATAAGTTAATTACTGACTACAGCCTCTTTGGCGTACAGTTGTGGAGCAATAAGTTAATTACTGACTACAGCCTCTTTGGTGTACAGTTGTGGAACAATAAGTTAATTACTGACTACAGCCTCTTTGGCGCACAGTTGTGGAGCAATAAGTTAATTACTGACTACAGCCTCTCTAGCGCACAGTTGTGGAGCAATAAGTTAATTACTGACTACAGCCTCTTTGGCGCACAGTTGTGGAGCAATAAGTTAATTACTGACTACAGCCTCTTTGGCGCACAGTTGTGGAGCAATAAGTTAATTACTGACTACAGCCTCTTTGGTGTACAGTTGTGGAGCAATAAGCTAATTACTGACTACAGCCTCTTTGGCGCACAGTTGTGGAGCAATAAGTTAATTCCTGACTATAGCCTCTTTGGCGCACAGTTGTGGAGCAATAAGTTAATTACTGACTACAGCCTCTTTGGTGTACAGTTGTGGAACAATAAGCTAATTACTGACTACACCTACATGCCGTACAGTTGTGAAGCAATAAGTTAATTACTGACTACAGCCTACGTGCCGTACAGGCGTGGACCAATAAGGTAATTACTGACTACAGCCTTCATGCGGTACAGCTGTGGAAGAATGATGTAATTACTGACTACAGCCTACATGCCGCACAGCTGTGGAAGAATGATGTAATTACTGACTACAGCCTACATGCCGTACAGCTGTGGAAGAATGATGTAATTACTGACTACAGCCTATACGGCGTACAGTTGTGGAACAATGAGTTTATTACTGACTACAGCCTACATGCCGTACAGCTGTGGAACAATGAGTTAATTACTGACTACAGCCTACATGCCGTACAGCTGTGGAACAATGAGTTAATTACTGACTACAGCCTCTTTGATGTACAGTTGTGGAGCAATAAGCTAATTACTGACTACAGCCTCTTTGGCGCACAGTTGTGGAGCAATAAGTTAATTCCTGACTACAGCCTCTTTGGCGCACAGTTGTGGAGCAATAAGTTAATTACTGACTACAGCCTCTTTGGTGTACAGTTGTGGAACAATAAGCTAATTACTGACTACACCTACATGCCGTACAGTTGTGAAGCAATAAGTTAATTACTGACTACAGCCTACGTGCCGTACAGACGTGGAACAATAAGGTAATTACTGACTACAGCCTTCATGCGGTACAGCTGTGGAAGAATGATGTAATTACTGACTACAGCCTACATGCCGCACAGCTGTGGAAGAATGATGTAATTACTGACTACAGCCTACATGCCGTACAGCTGTGGAAGAATGATGTAATTACTGACTACAGCCTATACGGCGTACAGTTGTGGAACAATGAGTTAATTACTGACTACAGCCTACATGCCGTACAGTTGTGGAACAATGATGTAATTACTGACTACAGCCTAAATGCCGTACAGTTGTCGAACAATGATATAATTACTGACTACAGCCTACATGCCGTACAGTTGTGGAACAATGATGTAATTACTGACTACAGCCTAAATGCCGTACAGTTGTGGAACAATGAACTAATTACTGACTATATCTCTGTTTTTCAAACTTTCGGAGTGAATTCGGGTCGAGAAACAAGGTTCAGCTGAATTTTATCAGTCGCCTGTATATTACGTTATGTTTGTTATTGTTATTACACTGGGTATTCCTATTCACACTGCTCTGTCGACTGTTTCCACTGACAAGTTGGTATGTCATGTCTGGACCCCAAAGACGGGACAGACTTGCTTCACTAAGCTTTACTACCAGGTCACGCAGCCGTCTTAGCAGAACAGATTTGCCATTATCCACCAGCCCAGCCTCATTAGCATTTTGACATCAGCTTTGCCCATGCTTCTTCCCGTATTCACTCATGCATTACTAGTTATTTGTTCAGCTCGATCGTTACTTTTTCTTGCATGCGCAATTGTTTAGATGGAGTAAATATAGGTTACATGCAACTTCTGAGCGCTTTTCTACTCATTCACATCATGTGTTGCAATTTTCTGAAGCATACTCATAGAGTCTCATACGATTACTGCATGTTTGACAACAAATTACATCCATCAAAACGTACTTTAACTCCTTGTTTTCAGACTCCTCGCAGATCTAGACACTTTTGGGGAGAAAGCGGAAATGGGAGCCCAAAGCTGGATGCGTTATGTCACCCCAAACGTTGCCATGGAGATGTGGAACCTTCAGGACCCTAGTGATGTCATTATTGGTTTTGGCGCCAGACAGGCTTTTAGCTGGACAGCACCGTTGTCAGAACCCAGGATCCAGACTCTCAAAGTAAGCCAGCGATAATATAGTGTCTTCAGGCTGACTGGTTTAGTTGTCACGGTCTGTTTACCTTTCTCACTTACGATTTAATTTCCTAGAGAGTATATGCTGTGCTGTAAAGGTCTCTTTTGTTACTCCAGGAAGGAAACACTTCGTCATCAAAACTAGAAGAGGCAGAGTCATTTTGGTTTTCCCAAGTGGGGCCCCAGTAAACATGTCGCAAAAAGCGACTAATTAGGAATTTGCTCTGATTGGAAGGACGTGTTGGAGGTAGAGATGTCGTAGCCTAGCCGTGAACCACACAACAATGTGCCAATCGCCCTTTTAAGGGTGGTCGCAGAATAAGAATGATGACTGGGAAATAGTATTAGCTAACGTACTGTGACAGAGTATCGGCGTGGGGCATAATCATAGAAAATAATCAACAAACTTGCTTTGCGTATCATAATAGTACTTTGAGAGTTAACCTACAATATAAGGATGAGGAAAATTAGAGTGTATAACGTACTGGTAAATCTTCTGTTAAAGCTTCTTATATGGCGTAATGTTAAATCTTCCTGAATGGTTAAATCTTCCAAAATAGCGTAATGTTAAATCTTCCTATATAGCGTACTGTGAAATATTCCTGTATGGCGTACTGTTAAATCTTCCTGTATAGCGTACTATTAAATCTTCCTGTATAGCGTGCTGTTAAAGCTTCCAAAATAGTGTACTGTTAAAACTTGCTGTACTGTGTACAGGTATATTTCCCATTATCGTGTGCAGTTATATAATCCACTAGGACGTGCAGTCAAATTTCAAGTTGTGCCGTTCGTAAAATCTTCTTTAAGGACGTGCAGTAATATTTCATAAAGGACATGCAATTAGATTTACCTCTACAAGATGTAGTTAGATTTACCTCTAGGAGGTGTAGTTAGATTTACCTCTAGTAAGTGAAGTTAGATTTACCTCTCTGTCAAGTGAAGTTAGATTTACCTCTAGCATGTGTAGTTAGATTTTCCTTTAGGACATATAGTTAAGTTTACCAGTTTGAAGTTCATTTTTTTTTAAATTCACGGACCTTTCAAACATGACTTTATCACCCGTGTCTCTCCTATATAGGATCGTATGTGGGCAGAGCAGCACTTGTCCACGTTTGA